CGGTCTGCTCCATTTTGGTGTTCCTGTCCTGGGTTCATTAGGAAGTGGGCCAGTCTGGAAGTTGCAAAGGCAATGTCTGGTCTGGTGGTGACTGCAGCAAACAGCAAGGATCCAATCTTTCTCTGATACTTGTTGATCTCAGATGGTATTGCTAGGCCTTCCCTTGGCTTGAGTTCAACATTTGCCATTGGGGTATCATGCCTAAGGTCTATTCTGTCCACCAGATGGCTGATCTTCTCAGCATACTGGGCTTGGGAGAGAAGGAGAGTGCGCTCTTCACGGTCTCTCAGGACTTCCACACCAAGGAACCACTGAAGATCACCACCTCCTGTGATGGTGTACTTCTCTGTGAGTTTCCTGATGGATTCCTGAGCCTCCCTCTTCCTGGACTTATAGAATGCAACAATGATATCATCCACATAGAAGAACAAAATGATTCCATCCTTGATGAGACAACATGGTTCATGTTTCACTATGTAGAATCCCATTTCCACCAGTGTCTTTGTCAATTCTCTCTGCCACAGCAGGGGAGAAATCCTGAGTCCATACAGGGCCTTGTTGAGTCTGAGGAGTATTCCTGGCTTCCTGTATCCTGGAAGCATCTGCATGTAGATTTCTCTGTCCATGGATGCATGCACAAAGGCATTAGTAACATCATATTGCTTGAGTTCTAGGTCAAAGTATGCTGCAATGGCCATCATCATCCTGAAGGATCTCCCTGCCAGTGTTATAGCATATATGTCTTGAGATATGATGTTCCTCTGTTGATCTCCTCTTACAACCAGGTGGGCCTTGCATTTTTCCAGTCTATGGTGCTTGTCAAATTTGTAGACATACATCCACATGCAGTCCAGGATTTGGTGACCAGCATCTTTCACTCCCTTGCTTGAGACTTCAGTCCAGGATTGTGTGGGAACATAGGATCTAAGATGTGCTCTTTCTGCTTCCTTAAACTGTTCCCTGAGCTCATGGTCCTTGAGTTACCAATGGTGCTTGGGTGGAGGTGGTAGTTGGTTCCTATGTGGTTTCACTCCCTGAGCTAACAACCTCTTCAAGTGTGCCTTGTCAATTAGTTTCCCTTCATGGGATCCAAAATTTCCTGCTTGTGTTCCAGCCATGAATGCAGCACACCACGGTACCGTTTTAGCTGTGCCAGTGTCCTGGAGTGATGGATGCTGTTCATCAGGTCCTGAGAGAAGTTGGGCCAAGAGTGTCATAGGTGGTGGTGTATCAGGTGGAGTAGGATAAGGACCCATGATCTTTCTTCCTTGGTGGTACCCTAGTTGGTCTGATTCTTCTTGATTATCCTGAGAAGCATCTTCAATGGTTTCATCCTCATAGAATGACTGGGTCTCTTGTTCACCTGATGGGGGAGATGGAAGTTCTATACTCTTCACCCATCTAGCAATCTCCTCAGTGGTGCTATGCATAAGATTGTCCATGATTTCTTCTTCCTTGCTATTGAACACAGTGTGCTCATCAAACACAACATCTCTGGTGCTGATAACCTTTCCCAGAGTTGGTATCCAGATCCTGAAGATGTTGGAGGACTGGTACCCAACCAAGTATCCAATCCATGACTTGGGATC